CATTCCTCTAAATCACTGCAAAAACAATTTTTAACTTTTATAGGGGGGGGGGGATTATCTTTGTAAGATTATATTTCTCTAGTCCTTAAAATAGGTTTTTAAGTTTAATAGCTCTGCTTATGTGTGTGTGTGTGTTTTTTTTTATTTATTACTTTCTGATAAATTCAGGTGATCTGTTTTGAGTTATCTTGAAATTAACACTATACTCAGAAAGCATTACCAAATCCACATGGCTGAAAAGTTAAAATGTCTACTCAAATATAAAGGGAAGGGAAAAATAAATTGTGCTATCATCTCATTTTAACAGTAAATGTATTAAATAGTTCTAAGGTAATGGCAGAAACTTTCCAAAAAGAAGTATAAAGAATATGTAAAATTTAAATAAAAACACTACCATGTTACACATGATAATCTATACACTATTAAAAACTATTGTAAAATTAATCTACTGATAAATTTTTTCTTTTTCTGAACACTATTTATTGTATATTTTTCAAAAGAAAGTCGTTTTCCTAGAATACAGACATAACTCAGCTTTGTAGTTCTAATTAAGATATGTGCTGTTGTTTCAAGCTCTGTAGTGTGAAATTAGACAAGCAGTTTTCTAACATCCATAAAATAAATAAAAAAATGTTCCTGCTCTGACAAACAGATAATTCAGTCACAGAGAGCTTAGTTCTGTTTCCTTTGTTGTTGTTTTTTTTTTTTTTTTAGCTGCTTGGTAAGCCAATTTTCTACTTAGAATCTACTGCTAAAACTCTCATTTGGTTCAGTATGTGGGCTTTATCTTTTCCATGGTCTGTTATGCCAAAAAGATGGTTTTGTGTGTTTTTTTCTTCTGTGCTGCAGAGCAGCGGTTCTCAGTTTGGATGCACATGTGAATCACCTAGGGAACCTGTTAAAGAATACTGATGCCTCCTCCCCTTTGGAGATGCTGATGTAACTGGTCTGGGTGGGCCCCTTTGTAAAAGCTCTGCAGGTGATGGTAATGTGTTGCCAAGGCAAGAAATAGCTACTCCAGGATCCTGCCAGTGTCCCTCCTCCCCCCTCCCACCACCAAAAGCAGCTTATTATATTATCTTTTCTGATTGAACCTGAATGGGAAATGCCTTTTAAAAAATTCCATAGTTTAATAGATGCAAAGATTACATTTCTTCTCTATGAGGTTGCTTGATACTTTGTTTTGTTTGAATTTTATGCTTTAAGAATATCTTATACTTTATTCTAATATTAATTCAAGAAGTTTATTGGTCACTAATGAAAAAAATGTAAAGACATATATACCTGAACATTACTTTTACATGCTTGTGGTTTTAGTTCACGATATGATAAAAAATGTGTCACAAATCATAAAGATTATGTCTTTAAACTCAAAAAAAGAAACAATTATTTCCCAAAACATTTCTTCCAAAAGACATTCACCTTTTGCATATAGAAGTTCACAGGAGGTTTTGGAAAATAAATTTTTCCAATTTTTCCAGTTTTATTTTGAGAGAATGACTGAAAAGGCCAAATCCGACACAACAGTAACTTGCCAAGATGAATTACATACCTGAACATATTAGGGCTGAAAAAGGGGACATTAACTATGCAATCAGTGGTGAATAATTAAAAATCATGTGCAAGTATCAGATAATGTTTATTAAAACATATTCAAATACTTATAAAAAATGGATGTTTCCAGAAATACCAATTATGGAAGACAACACAAGGAAAATATGGAATTCCTGAAGAACAAACAACGCTTGAAAAGTAGAGTCAGTATGAACAAAATCTACTTTCCTTGAAAGACACTATACCTAGGCAGCTTCATGGGTGTGTTTTACCAAATATTCAAGTATGAGATAATGTCTTTGACTGTTTCAGAGAGAAGAAAAAAGCTAAGTAAATCACTTCACAGAGCTAATACAACCTTGATATGAAACTTAGAAATAGTAAAAGAAAGTAAAACTGTGTATCAATCTCATATTTGAGCAAATTGTGAAGCCCCTTTAATATCCCCTCCTTACTATCGCCACAGAATCAATCATGCCCCATTGGCTGCTATTATAGCTTGCACATACACTATCCACAGCACCATATAACACTTCAGTGCATTTACATGTTTCATATTTGCTTCTCAATGCTAAACAGGAAGATCCTTACAGGTAGGGATCGTTTTGCATTCATATCTCATGGCATAAAATACAGTGCTTACTCTATGGTCATGCTCAGTAGTTTCTGAGTGTGGTCGAAAGAGAAAGGGAAGGGCCTTTCAGGTAGAAACAGAGTAATGTGTATGGGCAGGAGGGGGAAATAATGAGGCAGTGAGTAAACCATTTGGCTAGAACTCAGGTTTGTTTAAGGAATAACACTGAAAAGGCAAGTCAGGACCAGTCAGGGTGGGCTTTTCGGTGCTAAGGCTGTTTAGTTTCAGTATCTACTGAAGGCTGCGCAGCAGTCAGTGGCTAAATCAACGAGTGCTGCAGCATCCAGATGAGTACTTTTAGAGCTGTCAGGGAACTGGAGGTGACCTATCTGGTTTAAATCCATTGCTTTAAAAAGTAGGAAATGAAAAGTCAGAGAAAATAGGTGATCTACCTAAGGCCAAAAAACTGAATTAGCTAACAGCAAGCAGAAGCTCAGAGGGACTAAACTTGATAAAGGCCACACAATTAGTATATTGTCCAACCAACTGACAAATATAAGACTGTCCAACTCCAAAGTCCATGATCTAGATGACATCAGCAGATGAGGTTATGTAAAACATATGTACACTCTTTTAGAATGATCCTAGTTTCATGTAATCCACTCATCCTATATAATAAAGATGTGATATGCATATTGACCATCATTCCAACACGTAAGATGGCCATCCCCATGTGAAAGAAGGCTGCCTCATGTGGACACAAGATGGCTGCCACAAGATGATATTCAGGGGAGGGCAGTTGTGGGTGATCAGGCCAGCAGGGGAGGGCAGTTGGGAGGGACCAGGTCTTCAGGGGAGGGCAGTTGGGGCAACCAGACCTGCAGGGGAGGGCAATTAGGGGTGACCAGGCCAGCAGGGGAGGGCAGTTAGGGGCAACAGGGCTGGCAGGGGAGCAGTTAGGCATCTATCAGGCTGGTAGGGGAGTGGTTAGGGGGTGATCAGGCTGGCAGGCAGAAGCGGTTAGGGGCAATCAGGCAGGCAAGCAGTTGGGAGCCAGCAGTCCTGGATTGTGAGAGGGATCCCCGATTGGAGGGATCCTCAGTGCAAGCTGGGCTGAGGGACATACACACACACACATAGTGCATGAATTTTGTGCACTGGCCTCTAGTTCTATATAATAAAAGCCTAAGATGCTAAGTGTCCAGTCGGCCATTTAACCAATCAAAGCGTAGTATTTAATGATATGCTAAGGCCACTCAACCGCTCACTATGATGTGCACTGACTACCAGGGAGAAGATGCTCTGACCAGTAGGTAAGGTTACTGCTGAGGTCTGGCTGATCAGGACTGAGGGAGACAGGCCAGACATACCCTGGAGCCATCCTGTGGTCTCTTCCTAGCTGGTCAACCTTCCATGTCCTTCCTAAGCCCCGATCATGCACCGGTGGGGTCCCTTGGCCTGCCTGCATGCCCTCACAATCCAGGACCCCTCAGGGAATGTCGGAGAGCTGGCTTTGGCCTGATCCCACAAGCCAGCCCAAGGGACCCCACTGGTGCACGAATTCGTGCATTGTGCCTCTAATTTCAAATAAAGGTAATTTGTGTAATGTATAACTAAAGGCTGATTTAATTATTTTTACCTTTATTATCAAACAGAACATTAATAGAATTATAATTATCTTTATTACATTGTCATTTTAATGAAGTATTTTACTCGATTAGCATCGAGACCTAAGATCAATAAAATGGCGGCATGAACAGGGCAGAAGTAAATAGTAAAGCATTTCTTTAGCCTCAAAAAATCTACACCTAAAACATTACAAGTGGTGTTAGTTATTGCAATGGAATTGGAAAAGTTCCCAGAAAAAGGTTAATTATTATTAATTAATTAATCAATCAATCAATCAATCAATCAGTCTTAAAAGACAGGCTGAAAGTTTACAAAACCAGAAGAGGTAGGTAGTGATAGAGAAAATTTGGACTTGTTTATTATATCTCAGAATACTAATTCTGAGAAATACTTAAAGCCTAAAAGGTAACAGATTCAGAGAAAATATGGAAACACATTATTTTACCCAGGCAAAAGCTTTTTAAAAAATAGGTGAAGCTTTTTTTTTTTTTAAATTTATAAAATATGCGAAACAGAATTTCATACTCAAAGTACTGGTCCAAGCTGGAAATACTCAGAGGTTCATGACAACAGAATCAATGTCAAGAATAGGACAGGACATTGTCCTTGCCTCTTAGATTAACAATCCTTTGGTGCTCTTGTCTGAGGCAAGATGCTAAACCGAGGCCACTGCCTATGGCCTTCCTTATAAATTCTGCCCCAGCCTTGGTTTGGCACCACAGGGTTGTGCACAAAACAGGCATTTGACTGTTCATTGATTGATTGAAGTTCAAAGAAGGTGATGATAACATAGCTTTGACTGACAAAATCATGAGCAAATAGGAATGACAGTACTAATAATGATAACAAGAACTATAATAGCAATCAGTGATAAAGAGTTTATATGTAGGTATTGCTCTAAATGCCTGTATTATCTTCCTTAACTCTATTTTTAAATTAACAAAACCACAGCATATTGACCTCAGTAACTTGCTCAAGGACAGAGAGCTAGGTAGTGGCAGAGCTAGGAATTGAACCAGAAGCCTTGCTCTAATCATTGTGCTATTCCAATTATTCATTCTATCAGCCCTGAAACTATCTATGTAACTTCTAGATAGAATACTTTTAAGAATACCATTTCATATTCCTTTTGACTATTTGGAAAAATTATAGGCTTAAAAAGCATGTGCATTTACTTCACAGGAAAAATTAATAATCCTATTTTATGTGCTCTTCAATAAATGTATATGTTTATTTAAATTACCTCCAGTCTTCCTTGAGCATAACCCAGGAGCAGCAGATTGGCCCTGTCCTTCTCAGAAGAGATAGGGGCCCATGGCCAAGCATCATCACTGATCAGTGGCCACCAGCAAATAACTGTATCCTGGGTACTATTGATGGCTAGCCGACGCTCTGTTGTCCTGTTTACTGGGCCAGGAATGTCATAATAGGAAATCTAATGGTTAAAAAAGAAAAGCAAACAAGAATCATTTTTTAATGCAAAATCCCCAAAGTATTATAAAAATGGAAGCATCTGTAAATGTAGATAAATGCAAGTAAATATGCATGTTAAACATGTGCTTAAGGAGGTGTCAGAATTTACCAAATTCTTTTGACACATTTAAAAAAGACATATGTTCAAAATTCTTTCCATTTTTAGCAGAGGAAAGAGAAAGGGAAAAATGTGAGTTAGGGAGAATTGGCTGTAGCAATCCCAATCAATACCAAAATGTACAGTCATGGTTGCTTGACAGCATCGACCTACACAGAGGATTTGAGACCAGCTATATTAAATGACAAGTTCAGTGCTGCTGACCAAGAGCGTCCGAATACTGTTTGAGACATAACATGTTAACAATGACTGACAACAATAAGAGGAAAAACAACGTGAGGCAAATATCACATTAAGGAATATATGAGACATACATACACATACATTCTGCATAAGAGGATAAGCCACAGCATCATAAAAGTTTATGCTGCTTCTGAGAATTATGCTTCTCTTTCTTAGAAAAAAAAAATGGTAGAATTTATTATTCAAACTATGTTATTTTGGAACATGATTATTTGAAAACATAAGCACAGCACCATCTGGGTGACACATGCCAAGGAAATATAGATTGCACTGTATTTCTGCTTAAGGAATTAATGGAAGGTTGATAGCTTGGAAGAAAAAAAAACCCAACTATCTTGCCATTGCTGGTCAGCAATAATCGAACCACTTTCTGGGGATTAAGCGCATGGCTAAGCCTACTGGACCAGACACTAGCAAAGGGCAGGGGGTCTTCTTATCAGAGAAATGCTTCTGGAGCCAGTCTCACTACATGACAGATTGCTTTCATATTCCTGTCTGCAAGGCAACAAAGGATGGCAGTAATGCGATAATGCCAGAGTGCAATGGGTGTTAAGAACCCGTTGCATTTATGTATTGTATTTAGTAAATAATCAGGCTCATCCAAATTGTGATCTCACCACTCAACCAAGGCCATTAAAATCAAGGTTAATGCTTTAATAATCCTCTGCTATTTTTTTTTTAATATGGTCAAAAGGAACTCTTTTCTATTTGCATGGCCATAATATTATTGACCTCTTCATCCTCTGAATGCACATCAAAAGGAACTGAAATCAAAGTAATTACCAGTGTTGTTCTCTCATGGTAAACATTTAGCTCCTTGCACTGTCCCTTCACTGTTTAATAAATTGAATTGGATTTTTTAAATGCAGACAGGAAAATTTGTTAAAGGCCAATAGTTTCAGGATATTTACCCTGCAATTTTCTCTGCCAAAATTATTTCACTCTGAAAGAATTAAATTATGGTTCAGCTGTAAAGAAAAGCAGAATTATAATACTCTATACTATTTCCTTGTTTTCAAATCCAAATGGGCAGTGACAGACAACGGGATGTACTTTATGCTTTGAAGTGCAAATTCCTATGTTTAAGCTCTCAATATCATTAGCTATCTTCTTGTTTTAGAGAAATACCACAATGGAATTACATGTTATTTTTATGTACTACTTGCCATGTAAACATATTATTTAAAAATGTCTACATGAGGAAATAGAGTTAAAACAAGAGACTGACACTTTCAGTTCTCATGTAATGCAAATCATGAATGTTATCTGAAATTTCATGTTTCCTATAAGTTTGAATGGCATCATATTCTATCACAATGGTATACAGGGCAAGTGAAATAAAGAAGTTTCTTAAAATATTCTTCCAAATGTCAAAAGGAAGTTTTTACTAAGTATTAAATAAGGAAATTGAAATATTGAACCAGAATATGAAATCCATGGGTTTTCTGAAGGGATTACTTCTCTAATTACAGAAATGAAAAGGAGTACTCATATCCGAATTTTCTAAATCCAAAGGCAAGAAGAATAAACAAATAATTCCTTTACTTAAGGTATAAAGGCCCACATACCAGGTCCATTTTCTACATCTTTTTATAAGAAAAGATTACATCATGGCAGTTTCTCTCTGCTCTCACTGATGGATAACCACTGTTCTTTGGCTGAGAAGACTTCATTAAGCTATCCATCAAACCTAAGATGGAGGAACTAGTCATAGAGAAGTTTATATAGCAGCATTAGAAACACTTAAAATAGTCTGAGTTAATGCACATTGGTGCATTTTGAAGAACACTACTGATAAATAAATACCATTTCAAGTAAAGCTACAGTTAGCCAGTCTGGAAAATAACATCCCATTAAAAGTGTTAATAGCAATTTTTTGACTACCCAAAATATAATACATGAGTACCACTGATTTCCAGCATATTACACAAAGTGTTACAGAAGCTCCACAAAACTGTTAAACAAAACCAAATTGTAGTTCAGTACAACAATGAAAATGTTATTTATATTTTATCCTGAATTAAAAATGTTTTTTATAAAAATACGTTTCTACTAAATAAAAATTAGATCCTCCCTCACATCACTACCGCTTCAATCACATTATCACATTATGAAATAATCTCAAATGGGCAAAAGGTTAGCTTCAATACCACTTTTTTAAAAACACAGTTTCAAGCCACAAAGCTGACTTCTAAAAATCTTTGCCTTTGCTATATACTCTGTGGCATAGGTGTGCCTCTTCTTTAAGGAAGCTGTTCATCAGCTCCGTTCCCCGTGAACAGTGAACTGTCTCAAATCCACGTCACAGAGGCTGGATCAATCTTGCAAACACAAGTCACTGCTAAAAAGAGGCCTTGAACTGAAACAGCCTGGAAAATGTATTAGATACTCATCCTAGCAGGGTGAGTGTATGCCTTCTAAACAGTTTAAAATGTAATGTGGAAAATTTTAAATTAAAACACACCATTTAAAAAAAAAATCCTGCCTTAACAGATGTAAAGTCCCTGATTCAAAGAAACAAATTACCTGGAGTTAGTGAAGGGAGAGACTAACAAATGAAGATTTCATTTTGCATTTTCTCCAATTATAGTTGAGAGCGGAATCTTCCCACTCCTTGTTTATTATACTTTTCCATTAACCTTTGGAAGTGCCTTTTTTCTTCTTTCTTTTCTTGTGAAATAGAAGCCTGGTCAGCTAGCCTAGTTTAGAAAAATAATATGGGGGTCTGAGGGGAAAATAAGAATGGTATACCGTATTTTTCGGACCATAAGACACACTTTTTTCCCCCCAGAAGTGGGGGGGAAAAGTCCCTGCGTCTTATGGTCCAAATATAGCCTACACATACACTTTAAAAAAAAAGTTTTTTTACTTGCCCGGCTCTGTGTGGTCTCTGTGTGCTTGCCCGGCTCTAAAATGGTTCTAAATGCTGCTGTTTACTTTACAGGGTTGATTACATGTGTTTATGACTGTGATGTTGGGTTTTAATGCACATAAAATATTTTAGGACACTATTTGTTTCAGAATCTTTTTTTCTTCATTTCCCTTCTCTAAAAACTGGTGCGTCTTATGGTCCGGAGCGTCTTATGGTCCGAAAAATACAGTATATATTATACTACCACTACCGACAAAACCATTTTCAAATGTGTAACTTGCCTGTTTTCTGTAACTGGCTTCCATAAGTACGATATAAATTGCTCTAAACATTCCATTGTCAAACCTTGAGAGGTTTCCATTGAGAGGAAAAGAGAAAACTTAGGTGTGGCCACTGTTTCTAATGAATCAAGCTTAATCCTATAATAACTCCAAAATCTAGAAATGTGCAAGAATAATGAGCATAGCATAAAGTCATGTGAAATTCATATCTTAATAATTAACAGTATGATGACTTAAATTGAAATCTCTACCTTATAATCCAAAGCTGAGAGTTTTTCCAATCTTTTGTTTATATCGGGAGAACCCATCTTCTTGGTAAACTGAATAAAACATAGTTTGTTTTGTGCCAGAAATGATAAGATGATAAAGCTGTCTGTGAGAAGAGCTTTAAGGAAAAAAAAAAAAAAAGGAAGGTTTAATAATACCATCAAATAATAAGCTAGAATAAGATAACAATGAATTGATTTTTTCTAATGAAATATTACAAGAGGCTATTTTCACAAAATAAATGTTAATTGAAATAACTAAAGTCTCCTAAATATCATTATGAAAATTTACAAGGATATTAAAGATGCTGGAAATAAATGATAATTATCAGTTTAATCAGCATGGATTTGATATTTTTCCTTCTTTTCTGAGACCGTTTCAATATACTCTGATGTTTGGGAACCACCACCAAATAAGATGTAGTTGGAAGTAGGGCTAGAAAGACCATTTCACATCTGACTATAAAGATTAAAACATGTTCTTTTATTTAACCTTAGCCTTTAATCCTGTGTTTATACAATATAAACCATCTGAGAATAAATTGGATTAACAAATATAGATCAGTGCTCCCCACCAATCTTACTTTTTTATTTTAAATTTTTCACCAATGAACCTTCTTTTTGAGAGTATACAAGCTGAATGAAATAAAAGCATATTATTTCTATTATGGGCATTAAGTAAATATTTTTAAAGGAATATTAGCAAAAATACTTCTACAGCTTTATTTCTAAAGCATACAAGTAGGTAATTTTTATGGGTTACAAAAAGGGCCATTAATGTTACATAAAATTGATAACAATAACTGAGAAATGTTTTATGTTGTTCCTAGCATAAAAAAATTATTGAATGTTTTATATATTTTTCTTTATGTCTACACCCCTCATTGTGCAAACAGTTACCAACAGCAGATCTACACAATTACAGGAGAATCTGGAGAACTGCCAAGAAATCACATTGTTATCACAGTCTCATGAGAGTGTATAAATAAAAGAAACAAGTGAAAGAAGATATCTCAGAGACACGAATAATGTTGAAAGTCTCCTTTTAATTCTTATAGAAGTGCAGCAGTGTGATAAAATCATCAGTCACTACTTTATTTGCAGTGTCAACAAAGGGGTAAAAATAAAACCTCTTCCACAGGGAAGCTCCCCGTCCTAAAAGGAAGAGAACGTGGCACACTTACAAGCCGACCCTCAACGTATTCTCATCAGCAATGTTGCTGACCAGAGGCATCCTGCAGGCTGCTTTGCTGGAGGAGGATGGACCTGGGTCTGGCTTGTCCAGAGGTGGCCGGTGAGAGCACACAGCAGAAGGTTGTCTGTGTTCTCACCCCTGTCTTTCCTTTAGACCACACTTCGCTTTGATTGTTCCATTTAAGACACTGACAATTTTCAGACTCTAATGAAAATGAAATCTGAGTCTTAGACCTTTTACTGTGAATAAAAGAAGATACTCTCGAAACTTCAGGAGTCAGTATAGTATAGTGCAGAGAAAATGGGTTCTGCAGCAAGAACCCGGGTTCAAAGTTCAACTCAGTCACTTGGAGCTGTTCCTTAGGATGGCATTGGTGAGCATGTTCCTCCGTATATCAGCTTCTATTTCCTTATCTATAAAGTGAAAATAGCTATTCCTTATAAAAGGTTGCTTTTTGAATTAAATAAAATGGGCAGGTTGGCAAAGCATAAAGCCTCTTTGGGTTCAGTAAATGTTAGTATCCTACCTTTTAAATATCTGGCTTAAAATCTTTTTCTTATGTGTAATAGTATGTAGTATCACTTAATAGAATCCAGATTTATCTACTATATTTTGCATTGATGTTTGCATTGATATTTAGAAATAGTGCCCAGTCACTATATTGTACATCTGAAACTAATTCAATATCATGTCAATTCTAATTTTAAAAAGAAAGAAATATTGCCCAGACGTACTCAAAAGTTAATATTCATAGATGTTGGTAACAAAGAATCTTCTTAAAGAGGCAAAGCAAACATTACTAATATATATTTTTTTAAACTGGGGGCTGTGTTGACACATTTGGGTTATTTATTAAAAATTCACTTTTGAAAATGAAAAATATTTGAAATGTCAACAATAGGGAGCTAATTTTGAAAGTAAACATCAGGAAAAAAAATTTTTGAAAATATATTCGCATTTATTAAGAGTGAAAAATATTCAGAATATGAGCCTAACACTTAACAAAAACTTTGATATTAAATATTAGTCAAAAGTTGTACTGGTCCCATAGGTTGTAACTATGCTATTACATGCAATTACTTGTGTTTGCAGGTCCCCAGTGGTAATAATTAGTCTACCTGTTGACACACTATTTCTCCTGCCCCAGTGTTAATGTAAGCACTTGATTTGCACTTGGGGGTAATTACCATCACTGATGGTGTCTGAGATGAGCTTCCCCACCAGGCTTCTGTCAATCACCACTTTCTCCAGCTGCGGCCCAGAAAGGCCTAGGGACACCAGCACACCTGAACCAAAAAGGAGCTAACGCCAGGTAAGAGGAGGGTGGGGAGAAAGATATACTGAGGATTAGAATCTCTTAAAAATATCTCTCCAAATGTATAACTTATACAGACATTTACACACGCACCTACACCATGAAATGTTCAAAAACAATCTCTGACAGATACAGGTGGTTAAATGACGCAACACAATTGATGTGTTAATGAAAACTCTATGCAAAATGCGTGTAGTCCATGTTTATTAGAAGCCTAATCTCCTAAATACTTAGACGCTACCCATGCAGAAGTAACTGCTTTGCATTGCATTCAGAAATGTAACATGTTCTATTAAAATATTTTGAAAGATTACTATTTATATAAAAAAAGGTAAAGATGTCTTGAGGTTTGAATAGTCATTGCTATGCAAGATAGAAAATATGCCACCATGACAATATCAACAGTGAATGTTAATGATTTATTTGCAATTTAAACCCCAATTTTACAAATACAGATCTTGTTTATCTAAAATATTAAAACACATTAAGTCAAGGTAATTAAAGTAAAATGCTAAATTTTAAAATTCATAAACAAATAACACATACCAGAAACAATGTCTCCAGAAGAGACAAAGAAATGTAGTAAAGTACCAGGCTTTCTCAATGCCAGTGCTCACCCAACCACCCAACAAAAATTGATTCAATATCACCATTATGATTTTATGCTGCTCTTTTCCATTTGTGGCAGCATTATTCATTCATCTCCAAATGTTTAAAACTTCTGAAGGACTATGCATATGGGTATGCTTGTTATCTATGAGATTATGAAATATCAACATTGGAAGAAATTGTTTCACCTTCAAGGCAACAGACTCAAAACAGCATATGGCATAAGAGAAAAAAAATCAATTGTCAGTAAACTTATCGTGAACATGCCAGCCAAACCCAAAGACTACTATGATTTCTAAACAATACAGGAATTCCCCACCTACCTAGGCATCACGTCCTAGCTAGAGAGGATGATTCTGTGTCAAGTCATATTGGGGCATGTGTGTAAGAAGAGCAGCATGAGGGCCTAGGGTCATATGAAAAAAGACCACTCTTCCCCCACTGCCGAAGAGATTTCAGGCACATGAATCAGAAAAGGAACTGAAGGGCCCCTTTGTATAATATTTGACTGTTAGAATCCTTGTCCCACTCACCAGAAAGCTCTCTTTTCAGTCCTGTGCTAACAACATGACTTAATGGACTGTCCATTTCATATTAACATCCCTAATGGGGAGAAATGGGACAGGACTTAATCATCTTTATTGGGTTTGAAGAAAGCACATCTGTTCCAAGAATTTCAAATTACCTTTGCTACTGAATTACACCCAGCCCTGTAATATGCCTCAATGGGAAACACTGGTATTTCTATTATGGAGAATTCCCCCATAAGAACATAAAATGTGGTCTTCACCCCTTAAATTCTCACTTCTCAGGAAGGCAATTTTAGGGTCATCTTTCTGATCTAGTTCTCCTGGTTATAAACATATTTTTCCTACCTTCCCCATTTATCCAAAACATCTCAAAAATAAATAAAGATAAATTTTAATCTGCTAAAACTTTACACTTACACTCTTAAGCACCTCTTTTCCTAATTATCCAGAGACTACTAGCTCCTTATGGATACTGGCTAGGCATCTTTTATGTTTTTATATTCAGTGTCTAGAACAATGCGAGGCACAAAGTAGGTGCTAAGTTAATGTATAGAATAATCATAATTAACATCATAGGGTCAGATAATCCATAATTGGAAGGAAACCTAGTTTAATCTTCCACTTCCACGTGACATGGAAGTTCCTCCTGCAGCATCCCTTCAAGTACCCTTCATGCACCCAGCTCATGCTTGAATACTGCCAGTCAAGGAGCTCACTACTTTACTGAAAAGCTATTCCACCATTGGGCATTACTTCATAATCTTTCTCAAAGGAGGTTCAGCCACTTATTTATACATTCAACTGATTCATCCCATAAATATGTATTTAGCACTTTGTATGAGCCAGGCCCTATTCTAGGTGTTAAAGATACAACAATGAACAACCAGACAACACCCTTGCCCTTACTCCCCTCAGGGAGCTTCCTTCAAGGCCATACATAAATAGTTTTAGTAGTATGATATGATGCCGGACAGCAATAAGAACTACAGAGAAAAATAAAGCACAGTAAGGATGGCATTTTAGGAAGATGCTGTTTTTTAAAAAAATATATTTTATTGATTTTGTACAGAGAGGAAGGGAGAGAGATAGAGAGTCAGAAACATCGATGAGAGAGAGTCATCGATCAGCTGCCTCTTGCACACCCCCTACTGGGGATATGCCCGCAGCCAAGGTACATGCCCTTGACCGGAATCGAACCCGGGACCTTTCAGTCCCCAAGCCGACGCTCTATCCATTGAGCCAAACCGGTCCTGACGGGGGAAGATGCTGTTTTAAGAAGGATGACTAATAAATAAAAATGGCCTTTCTGAAGAGATGACATTTGAATACACACTCAAATGAAATGAAGGAACTACCCATATGGTTATTTGGAGAAAGTGAGTTTGAAGCGGAGAACAGCAGATACAAAAACCCTGAGATCAGAATGTGCCTATAGAAAGCTCGGCCCATGGAGCTGGAGGGGAGGGAGGCAGGGCAGGCGATGGATATTCAGAGGAAAGGAAATAGATAGTCAGGGGCCAGTTTGGGTCGAACCTTTTTGATGAGAAGCAGCAGAGAATTATAATCCAATTATGCTTTAAAGCAGAAATCAGGCAAGAATAGAAGCAAGGAGACAATTAGGGGGCTGGCCTAGGTGAGAGAAGATGATGGTCTGACCTTGAGCAGCAATGGTAAAGAAATGCTATGTTGAAAGATTTGAGATATATTTTAAAGGGGATTAACCAGGACTTGCTGAAGGACTGGATGTGACATACATGAGAAAAACTCAGAGGTGCTTACACTAAGCAACTGGGTTTACTGAGACCAAGAACTGAGGAGAAGCAAATTTAGAGGGAATAAAGAATTTGTTTTTGGACATGTTAGGTTTATGGACATTCAGATAAATATATCAAGTAGACAATTAAAAACGAGTCTGCACTTCAGAGTAAAGTGAGGATTGGAAACATATACTCAGGAGTCATCAACAATTTATAGGCAGTAAAGTCATAAAACTGAATAAGCTCTCCTTAAAAAATGAGTGGAGAGGTCATAAGTGTGGGGCTCTAATCCAATCTGCTATTCTTATAAAAATAAAAAGTAAAAAGAGAGACACCAGAGGGCTCTCTCTCTCCATGCACCCACACAGAAAGAGGACATTTGGCATACAAGACAGCTGCTTACAAGCCAGGAAGAGAGCTTCACCAGAAACCAACCCAGAGGGCTCCTTGATCTGGCAACTATGAGAAAGTAAATTTGTTGTTTAAGAAAAAAGAACAAAAGAGGTTCCAGGTCTGAGCTCCAGGGTTTTCCAATCTTTAGAGGTGTTAGAAAGTCAGGGTAGCCTTATTAACATCTAAGTGGGGTACTACTCATTGGGATCAAGGTATGGCCATCATTTCAGTTCTCTTGTAGTCCAGAGGTAACCTTGACACCAGATTTTGTAATAAGAATGTATAACTAAATTAATAAGCTAATGAATGCATTTTTTATAAAACAGCCTGTGGGGAAGGATAAAGTTTCCAAGTACTGGTGCCAAATATACTTCTGGATGGTAATGAAGATAACTAGAATTAGGAAAAAATAGTCTGAAACTCAGGAAAAGAATATTCCAGTCCAGACAGGAAAGTATTTCTAACTGTTTATCCAAGTGGTTAGTTCTTAAATCTGCAAAAATTGAACAGGCCTATATAAGATCTGGCAGGACAGGAAGGAAAAGGGCACTAAGATACTGTCCTATTCCACTGCAGAGGGAGATACGTCCAGAGCAGATGAGAAGAGATCCATGAGATGAACCAAGGAGAAGGCCCATGGGATTTCCCAATTTTAATGTTGGGTCCTTGTGTAGAAAACTACTAACCCAAAATAGGAATGGAAACTTCCTTTTCTCTGCCAACCTCTCAGACAGGAAGTATCTTTCATTATTTCTGCTCTAATCCTGTTTCTTTCTATTGCCTTTATCATTTTCTCCTCATTTTCTTCAAGTTTATACAGAGGTGTGATTTTCATTTAAGAAACTGGGAAATGATTTCCATGACCTTCAAATGGCTCTTCAAATTGGTTTCTCTTAACCCTAAGTCTATAGTGCTTAGATAAAGTACTCAATTGGATGTCAAATGGCACTGGGAGAAGAAAGAGAAAATTATAGCAGATGACATCATTAATAATAAAAAAAAAACATTAATAACCACAACAATCTGAGTTTTGTTCACTCAGCAGGTCAAAAATAGGTGAGTGCCTCCTACATGTGCCAAGTATATATGGGAATACAATGATGAATAGGTAGTCACGCTGACAGAATAAGTGCAGAATAGTGAAGACCTAATCTCAGAGGGAAGTGGGGGTTTTGGTTAGGATAGATGACTGTTTCCTAGAAGAGTAGTTTATGACCCCCCCAAAAAAGAGAAATACATTACACTTGGTCTCAAGTATTGAAAAAGAGAGGGTACATTAAGTCTTTGTGATTGGGCTGTTTGATGAAAGTGGTCACAAACAATCCCATTGCATTCAGATTCTCATAAGTTAAGAAAACTGCCCCCAAAATCCATGTGATTATCATCACATCTGGAAGGAAATTGAAAGTGTGTATATATATATATATATATATATATATATATTCATGGCCAATACTAAAAATCAACAATGGGTGATAGGTTCAATCCGGGATTTGAGAATTAAATCATGTACAGGCAACCAAGACTGGTCCCATGAAATCATTAGGAGACACATGGGAGACAGCAGGTACTAAACATGACAATTCACAGAGGCAACAAAGTATTAGAATTCGGAATAAATTACAGGGCTGAAGCAAATATTTCAAGTGTTATAGAAACACTCCCTGGAGGCCTAGAGAATTTGCATACTGATAGTAA